GATGTGTACGACTGGGACTTGCCCGAAGCTGCAGACGGTGGTGTGAACCTGCTGCAGTCGGACGTATATCGCCAGGCCAATGGCTTCAACAACCGTTTCTATGGCTGGGGTGGTGAGGACAATGATCTAAAGCTGAGACTTGTAGCTATAGGGACGGATTTTGTGCGCCGCAACCGGACACTTGGTCGCTATGTGGCCATGAAGAAGGGAAATATCAAGTCCAAAGCGAAATCCACCAACCGCTTTGAATTACTATCCTTGTACAGAAATTTTGTTTCCGAGGGACTGACAACAGTTAAGTACCGAGTGCTGAAGCGTAATGTGCAGCCAACTTTTACATTAATTTCTGTTGACATGTGGCTCACTGAGGATCCAGATAGGTACTCTGATAGAAGGAGGAACGTACGTACGTCATAATAATCTTCATTTCAGGACTACCCGTAGAGGCACATTTTCTTTCCCTCTCTTTTCATCATTATCTCTCTTGTATATACTATCTTGCTTCTCTTACGGTTTCTTTCTTCTTTCATCTTCTTTCTTCTTCTTTCTCCTTCTACATGTGCACCGTCTAGGCCTTGACAGATTATGCTAGCATAATTTTTCGCATAATTCCTACCATAATCGAATAATCGCATAATTCGAGGCAAATTGCATACGAATCGCATAAATTTGGAATAATCCGCCTGTTTGCATCAAATTCCATACAGTTGTACATGTTCTACAAGTACAAGTACAAGTTGATGCATCAGGAAGTCGTAGGTTTACGACTCCCTTGATAACATGTCCAGTCCACTACAATCAGTGACGGTCGTGCTAGGTCGGACGGTGCGTTGACTCCATTGAACTTTTCTACTACAGTACAAGGCCCTCTACAAAAAAATTCCCCCGTTATTTTGCACAGAACCATTATACATTACATTACCAGCATATGTGAGCATAATGCGGCATAATATGATAACTTTTAGCATAAAAATAGCATAATTCTGCAATTTTTTCAGCAATGCGAAAAGCATAATTTCACGAAAATATTAGCATAATCTGTCAAGGCCTAGCACCGTCTGATGCGAAAGCATCCGTCTATTTTCTTTTTTCTTTTTTTCCCATGCGTCCCCTTTTTCTGGTGCCCTTGTGGCATGCTGATTCTGAGACCAATGGTCAGTGGAGTTGCTGTGGTGTTGTTGTGCTTGCCATGATTTTAATCATCTTATACATACATTTCCAATTACTCTACGATACATTTTCATTTAGTCTTCTGAATGCTCTTCATCATTTTGTCGGAACTAGGTCTCCGGACCTGGTGAGAAGGCAGAAATGCCTGTTCGCTTGGTGAAGTAAAATAGAATAAACAACAACAACAACCTTGGAGTGGCTCCAGACTCACCAACACAGCAACCCTGTAGCACCACCCACCTTCCCATTATTTTCATGTTCTCCCGTTTCCCTTCCCAGGGGTTAGTGGGGCCGTATTTTTGAAGTAACACTTTAGTTTGGGGGGGGGGGGGAGCTCCAGTCTAAGGGCTTCTTTTTTACGATGTCAAGAGTGCATGGTTAGCAATTTTTTGCGTCGTGCTAAAAGCCCCACCCACGCTGGTGGCGGAGGGCAGCTAGTACCACCGACACCGAGTCCTGTCAGGATGAATGGCCATAAAGCCAGGGCACCTAGCCCTGCCGAGAGTTTGTGCAGTGTGCAGTGTGCACTGTGCAGTGCGAAGCTACGGAACCTTTGCAAGCTGGTGCGAGGAAACGGATACGCGACGCTCCGGATTGTGGCTCAGCCGGTAGGGAGTATCAATGTCTTCTTCTTATTTTTTGTCTCGAGCCGGGTTTGTGTTCTTTGTAGAAAAAATGTAGGTGTTGTTTCGCTTGATTCACTAATCTCGGAATTCAGCAAAACAATGAACGAAGTTCTTGATGATAGAATGGCTGCCATTGTAATTTCAGTTGTCCTCTTCCCCTGATTATTAGTAGGTCTGTGTTTGCTAGTAAAAAAATAAATAATAATAAATGTCGAAGTTGAAGAATACATGCAAAGAACTCAAGGAAAGAGTAGAGGTGTTTGAGCACCGCAACCGCAAACTGACATGCACTGTGGAGTCTCTTGGGAGATCAGATGCATCCCGAACGCACCCGTCACCTGCTGCAGGGCCAGTGCAGGGCCCCAAACTCAACCACACCGTAGATCTACGGGAACTCGTCCTAAGGTAAGGAATAGCGCCGGTGTCACATAGTACTCGTACTATTTCCCCCCCCCCCGCCCCCCCTCCCCTAGCGCTTGGCCCCCGGGGGAAAAGTACTATGCACCGGAGTATAGTGATTGGACTAGGCCTCGACCAAATATGCTTGCGCATATTTCCGCATATTTTGTGAGACAGTTCACATATGGCATATTGAGCGACAAAGGGAATATTGGAATGAAGCCAGCATATAATTCAAATATTCTGAAGAAAATGAGGACAACACTTTCATAATAGGGAGGTTTCGCTCTACGTAATAGAGAGGTTAAGTTTCACGTAAAAGTCTTACGTCCGTGAACTTTTACGTCAAAATTGAAAAAACTCACGTAAAATTTGACGTGTTTTACGTGAGTTGACTGTCCCGCACGTTAGTTCATGACGTGAGTTTTTGGAAGTTTTGCTTGGTTATTCCGACCGAATTTGTGTTAGTTTCCGGAATTTTATCGAGTTTTATCTAGTTTGTTGGAAGATTTTATATTTGTGCGAACTAAACCCGAATCCTGCCAGGCAAAATTTCACGTCACGTCGCACGTGTAACTAAACCTCTAAAAATTACACGTAACGTGAGATTTGCACCGCGTTTTGAAAAAGGGCAAAAAACGTGTAACTTAACCTCTCTAATTCTCCTCCTTTGCCTTCTTTGCCTCTTATTTGTATTCTTTTATCTGTTTTACTGCTGTGGTTGGCTTTCACCCTTGTCTCAGTTTTATTGGCCGTCACCATGATGTGCCATGAGATAATGATATAAATACAAAAAAATTACGTATGAAAATAACGTAGGAACTGCACGTAATTTTCATACGTAAAAATCTGGGCTGTTGGGTTTCGCTGTACGTGATTTTCGATGAGTGCAAGTAACTCTAGTTTTACCTTGTTGCGTTGGAAACGCGTCAGACTCATCTGCGGACGCTTTCAAAAGCGCGCAACCACGCAACCACGTGGATTGCCACTTGAAGGCGATTGTCGATCTCACTTTTCATCTCCTTTCAAGAAGAAAGCATGGCGAATCCTGTAGACGAGTGGGACGCTGTACTCATGGTACTGGAAGCTGTTTTGTTGGACGGTGTGGACTGCGATATCGAGCTGGCTGATGGTCTACTCCAGCTGCTGATTGAGCTGAACGAGCAGGAGGAGGAACGTCCCGAGCGGCATAGGTTTGATGCGAACGACGCCAAGTGGACGGCAGAGCACTGGAGAACATCGTTTCGTTTCTGCAAAGAAGATATGGATCGCCTGTGCGCAGCTCTTCAAATGCCCCAGGAAATGAGAAGTTGCTGCAGGAAAATATGGTCGGGGTTTGACGGGTTGTGCCTTGTTTTGTATCGCCTTGCGTACCCCTGTCGCCTCTCGACTTTGGAGGATGTGTTTGGCCGGCCAAAGAGCGAACTCTCTGTTGTATTCAACTGCACAGTGAAGTACATATCTGAGACTTGGGGCGATCTGCTGCACAACCTTGGCAGTCCATGGCTGACCCCAGAGAGGGTGGAGGAGTATGTCAGGATTGTACACCGAAAAGATGCGCCGCTCACTAACGTCTGGGGATTTATAGACGGCACCGTTCGACCTATGTGCCGGCCTATTCAAGGACAGCGGCTATTTTACAACGGCCACAAGCGTGTGCACGCTTTAAAATTCCAGTCAGTGGTCACCCCGGATGGCATGATCGCCAACTTGTATGGACCGGTAGAAGGTCGGCGGCATGACGCGTTCTTGCTTGCAGAGTCTGGCTTGCTGGAGCAGCTTGAAGAGCGCATGCACCGTCCCAATCCCGCGCCGGACTCACCAGCCATCTACAGTTTGTATGGTGATCCGGCGTACCCCTTGCGAGCCGTTCTGATCGGCCCGTTTAGAGGTGCCCACCTCACCGCAGATCAGAACACTTTTAACTCGCGGATGAGCCAGGTGCGAGTTGTTGTCGAGTGGGAATTTGGCAAACTTCTGCAACGTTTGCCTTCGTGGACTTCAAAAAAAAACCTAAAGGTGGGTGCAGTGTTTTTCCAGGTCATGGGTTCCTAGAGTGAGCTTTCTATGTTTGGAAGTGTAGCCACCCACGACTCCGCACATCTTCTCTTCTACTAACCCCAGGAAAATACTCTATTGCACTACATCTAGACAAGCATGGCTGTCTCCAACCTACATGTGTGTAAACCTTTGTCCTTTCCTTTTTCTTCATCTAGCAATCAATTATGCAGTCTGACTATCCTTGTCAATCACCCAAATCCTTTGCACTTGTCGTTGTGTTTGCCTACTCTTCAGGTTCTTTTGATGCCTATCGGCACAATGTACACGGTGAGCGCATTGCTGTCTAACTGCCACAAGTGTCTGTACGGCAGCCAGACAGCAGCGTTCTTCAGCTCTGAAGAACATCCCGTGAAAGCTCCCACGTTGGAGGAGTACTTGGAACTGTAACAAGTAAGTCCATGGCCATTATAACATGAACTCATGTTCACATGCATACAACATGCGCTCACCCACGTACATGCGCACACGCACACACACACACACACACACAAACACACACACCATGTATAAGCATGTTGCAAGAGAAGCACACACATCTGCAAATACACTGTATGTGCACCCACAGATGTTCTCTCATAGCAACGATAGTGGACACGATCCGAATGAAACACACACACACACACACACACACACACACACACACACACACACACACACATACACACACACACACACACACACACACACACACACACACACACACACACACCATGTCAATTGAGATTCATTGTTGAGTTCAAATTTCTATTCCTTTCGATACATAGTTTGGGCCTGTTGTTGCTGAAATGCTAGTTCTTCCTTGCGCAGATCAATCTCTTGCTGCCTCACGTCTAACTCCTTCTTCTTCATGTCACGAATCTCCTCCATTTGTTTGCTCATCTTGTCCAGGACATCACTACGCCTCTCTCGCAAGCTGGTCGGCTCGTACTTCCTCTTTGGACTGGGCTCTGTATTCAATCATTGTGAAACGCGCAAGCACGCGTGCATACACACATAAACACACACACGTAAAGGTTTTTAGAAATGTACAACAAGAAATGCAAAACATCGTACATTAAATTGTTCGCCAATTTCTCATCTTGGTATAATTATGTACATGTACATGTATATGGCATAAGGCATTTCTCCGTCCTAGTGATGTGAATGGTTGTTTACCTGTAGACGTCTTCTTGGGTGTTTTCTTCTCGCTTAGTGTAGCCGCTGCATCTTCACGAATTTTCAGGCCCAACTCCCGATCGTCTTCAATTTTTTTCTCATTTTTCTTCTTTGTGTCTGCTGTTGTGGCCTTCTCCTCCAAGTCACCTTTGAAGAGCTCAACCACGCCATCCAGGAGTTGGTCTTTTTCGGTATACTCCTCTGCAGTGCCAGATCTGAAACATAGAAGATGAACATACAATTTTCACTTGTCGTGTAATTTATTTATCATAAAAGAACAACCAGGGGAAAAGAAAAATGGTACTAGGAAGAGAATAAATTTACTAAAGCAGAATAAAACCCTCCACTATTGGCATATACTCGGGGCAGACGCATGCATACACAGCTGAATTGCATGCGTTGATAACTTGGGCTGAAACATTAAATTTGATGTCCACCACTTTCTTAGTGGAACATGAAAGATTAAATTATTTGAAAATTGTTTTCTTACTGCTTCATGGACGTTGCATCTCCTTTCATGTGGAGCTTACAAAGATGGACCACTCGCTCCCGCAGTGTCCTTGCCTTCAGGGTGTGGAAGCGAGCAGGAAGCCTTTTCTGCATTTCATCCCACACCTTGGATCCATGGCGAAACGGGTTCTGATAAGTGGTGAGCTCCCGAAGCACCGCCACATCATCAGCCACGCTGAATCGGAACTTGCCTGGCGTTGCTGGAGCCGGAATCTCAACCACTTCAGCCATGGCGGAAGACAGACTCTAGATGAACGAAGGAAACTGTGGCACAATTGAAGTCAAACTGAAAGAAAACCACGAACCTCCACCACGTTCTCCATTTATCTTCCACGTGTTGTGGACTTTGTGTTGCGCGCGGATTGAACGTTGCCATGGATAAATCCGGAAAGTGCGAAAAATATTTCCAAAAGTCCTACGGAGGACCCAACGTAGGAAACAGCTTTCCTACGGAAATCCGTAGAGAGATTTACGTATGAAAGTTGCCCTCGCTCCCCGGCGCGTATGACATACGGATTTTCATACGTAATTACGTAGAGCGAAACCTCCCTAATATGGACAATATGCGTTCAGAAATGCCTTTTATGGATGAATTTGGAATGGTTGAGGCGTTTGCTACATTTTCCCATGGATGAACACTATCGCTACGGTTGCTGGGGACACGCTGCAGCCATACTATTCCGGATGTGTTTTGATTTGCACCATAAGCATGATAGCCGTGAAGCCAATGAATATTCCAAGGTTGTAATTTTACTGAAATGATCTACACTTTCTGCTTATATCGAGCATATTTTGGCATATTTTGGCATATCTTTTTTGCATATCTTGCTAAGCCTTTGGCATATTATGGACGTTTTCCCTGATATGCGACGAGCATAATAATTATGCTCTTTTTTTAGCATATTTGGTCGAGGCCTAGATTGGACACCCGGGGAACTTTACTATGCAGTGTTTGTACCCCCGGGAAATTTACTATGCAACAGTCTCCAATATCATCCTAATAAAGATATTATTATTATTATATAAGCACACTGTGTAAATTCATTATCTGTACCGGCGAAAAAACCCTGAAATGTGTGTCTGACATGAATTTGGCATGGCAACATGCCTCCGAGTGAAATGAGGTTGAAATAGTAATGGAACAGTTTTCAATAAAGGAACGTCTCCATTAATAGCACGGGGCGGAGGTACATTGAAAAAATAAAGGACCGTGCTTACATTAGAGATAATACGGTAGCTCAATACGGTTTCGTCAAAAACTGCTTTATTTGTCGCCCACAAGAGCTAAGCTCCCTGGCGATATGTCTTGATCCGTGGCAATGTTTCGGTGTGCGTGGGCATTGACTGCCCTCAGTTTCGAGAAAAGCTCCAAGCGATAATCCTCTTCTTCGCTTTCTTGCCAGAGTTCTCACTGAGACCAATACAATTCGTCGTCAAAAAGTACTCAGCGTAGATTTCGTGCCGAATTCCACCCCAAACAATTTGCGCTGACCTCTAGCTCTCGCCACCAATTGAACCCACTGACATGTACATGTACACTGTACATGTACATGTCCATCGAAGCACTTCAAACACGTTTCAAGACGCACTTCAAATTTTGTAATTGTGTCTTGAAAATTGTTTAGAACGAGGTATGTCTCGTTGTCCAGGAAACGACCAATCAGCGACATTCCCGCCAAGGGCCTTATCAGAGTTTAAAACCCGCTCAATCGTTATTATTTTTACTACTCTTGATGACGCGTCGAGGGCCTTGGATTAGTTTAAAGCCCGCTGAATATACTCTAAACTGGTGCGTACAACTACCTGTATGCATTATAGTACGGTGCAGGTAATGAACTCTGCATAAAATGTACGGTGTACTACTAAAAGCTACGCATTTCAGAAGTGTGTACGGTTTTTGCCTCCCGTATTCTTTCATCTGTACGAATTTCCTTTGTCAACAGCTTGTGGAAACATATAAAAACCGAAGATCAAAGTCATTAGAGGTATCGACAAGGGGCCCTCAAAGCCCCTAAATAGCTCCACAAGCTATGAATAAGAATGATGCTCGCAATAAGAGCCCAGCATTTCATTTGCTGCTTTTCTACTTTTACCTCCTAAGTGGTGCTGAGTTACCATAACTAAACAGAAGAAAATATTCTTTCATACCACACCAAGTCTCTCTGCACACAAACAACAAAACTACCCAATATAATGGTACACAAGCATAATGGAAGTGAGATAATGCATGTAACCTCGTTCTAAAATAGTTAGTGCATGGCAGGGAGGGTCTTATGGCTTGTTTGTGCCCTTCAGGGTAGCCCTCGGGCCTACGCCCTCAGGCTAACCTGTCGGGCACTAACAAGCCATAAGGCCCTCCCTGCCATGCACTAACCTATAATTAGAACAATTCGTACTTCAATACGCTGTTGAATTGTATCCTCTGCTTGGGAGTCTCGACTGTGTTATTGCTGCATGGCTTTCCTCAACACCGTTCACTGTACATGTATCGCGGAACGCAGATTGGATGGCATTGGAGGTGAATTTGATAATTTGTGACTGTGTCATCAACCACTGAAGTGAGGACATCAAAATATCAACAGGGACGCTCCGAAAATCACAAACGCTGCGAAATAGATATGAAATGGTCTTACACACTGGTGGGTTTTCCACATTCATTGTGTCATATCTTTAGACTGTCCGAAAGTTTGCCGTGCTGTGCAACTTTCACAGACTAATCCGATAATTGGCATGTGGCCCTATAATGCCCCTATTGGCACACACTCATGCGTATGCCGCTGATTCTATCTATAACGTGCACGCACATGTGTACATGTACTGTACTACATATACAATTTTATTACGTGTGCAAAATAATAGGCAATCTACATGTACATAATAATTCTTATCTGTGTGCACTCACTCCTATGACATAGAACGACAGTGCAGGCTATGTAAAGTCGCACAAATGTGTGTCCCCCGGGTGTGTACATGCATGCGCGCTCGCGCGGGTGTTTTGTGTGCGCGCCTGGCATGGCATAACGCCGTTCAATATGACTAGTGTTGAACCGTGGTTACTTGCCCCCACCCCCTCTTTTTTCTGCTGGCGTTGGATATGCAACTAATGACATCAACTCGGTTGTTGAAAACGAGTGCCATGCACCACAATGGATTGACAAGAATATAATACAAGTAGCACTGTAAAAGCGCTGGTAATACTCATGTTGCAGCCATGTCAGTTGAGATTAGCTTTCCAAGTCAACCTGCACACCCGGCCCTGCTGCAGACATTATTGCACTCTGACCAGCTGGAGTCGCCCAGGATTGCCGGTTGTGGAGAACAGGAGTGATGCTTGTATTAAACGCTTGTATTTACATGATGTACTTCGAAGTAACATTAGGTGTATTACTTGTGTGTTCTTCTGCCTGTGCGCGTGTACATGTGCTGGTCAGTGTAGAACCGCCACCCATATCAGGTCATACAGCTGCTATCAGTCTCAGCAGCTTTAATATCTGGCAAATAGGGTTTTAGTGACTCGATTTTGCTTACTGTGTTCAACAGAGTGGCATTGAACACAGCTACTTGATGTAACACTACCACGCCCACTGAACTAGTTCTTCGCTTATATCACCTCTATTCTTTGGAACAGCGTATTAGCCTCAAGCTCTATGTTTTTGTGTACCGCTGCTTGGCCCAGCATCTTGCTAGTCCTCTTCTTCAGTCTTTGTACCAGCTTCGGGCAACTGCACCTGGTCACCAGGCATGCACCCGGGGCAAGGCACAAAGAGCCTTAGTTCTCCCACTCGTTTATACGCAGTATGGCATGCGCTCTATTTCTTTTCTGGCGGCAGGCAGGTGGAACTCTCTTCCAGCTGACTGTCGACAGGCCCACACTCTTGCTCTGTTCATTAATATGGTTAAACTTCACCTAGGGTTCCCAGTAAAAAGGCAGTAGCCTGTTGGGACTCCCCTAGTAAAATAATAAAAACTACTACTACTACTACACAGTGAAATTTTATATTTTTGATAGTTAGCTTCAGTAGAAACTTCTCCAGTGTGGCTCTTAGCTTCATTACCACGGAGTCTAAGCATTCAAGTAATGCACGAAGAACAGTGGCTAGATGTGAAGTGAAAAGCCATTGGACCGTACCCAGTGGAATACGCATTTAGTATAGAAATATTTCTTGCTATGTTGGGAGCAAACACTGTATAATAATTATAATAATTACATTACCAGTAGAAAGTGCCCAATGTGCATTGCTTCAGCACTATGTTTTGTGCAAAACAGTCAACAAATTCCACATCACTATCGGCTTCATGTTGGAGAAAGTTGTGGAAAACACTAGAGCATACATGTACACTCAATACAATCATATGTGTGGCATTTAGTATGTGGGCGACTTCAAAGTTCTATTTTGGTAGTTAGCTTCGGTAGAAGCTGTCTAAACTTGATCCAAAGCTCTACTACTATGTTCTGAAGATGTTGCAATCAAGTAATGTAAGACACGTATCTGCCGCATTGGAGCTAGTTGTGAAAACCTTTAGACCATACACTCAATGCACATGCTCAGCTATGGCATTTAGTATGTGGGCGACTTCAAAGTTCTATTTTGGTAGTTAGCTTCGGTGGAAACTGCTAAAACTTGATCCAAAGCTCTACTACTATGTTTGGAAGATGTTGCAATCAATTATTGTAAGACACGTATCTGTCATATGGTGGAGTCAGGGGTTCTAAGGCGACAATGTCCCCCATGCAATGTGCTGATTCTTGAAAATATGGCATCACTTGACACTTCAAAGTTTTATTTCAAGAGTTACCTTCGGTAGAACCTGCTCAAACTTGCTACCCAGTACCATTATTAAGTTATGATAGCATAACCATCGAATACAGGGCAAGTCCAGTGTCAAATACTTGTGGGCGGGGCTAATATGTGGGACGTGTGCGCTGAAATGGGATGATTCCGAAAAGAGAAAAAGGTCACCTTTTAGCCGAAATCTACCCACTTCTACAGCTTATGCTGATATTTAGCAAGTATACTACTGTCTTGATGTTGGACATCAAGAAAACGAGTGCTACGGCCAAAAAAGTGGTTTCCGGTGTTTTTTGGCCTAAATTGGCAATTGTGAGTATGCTATGTTTCGCCCCTCCCCCGAGTGAAACCGGCCGGTAGAACTTGATACAATTTTGTCTCCGTACACTAGATATCCTACGGAACAAAGTACAATCGTTTGTAGCCACGTTTCAAACAAAAAAATTAGACCCGAGGGGTAGGAGCCACCTTAAAACTTCTACTTGTCGCCGAGTTTGTAGTTTTCGCTTTACAGAGAAAGAGAAGCCGTTGTAGGATTTTTTGCTTGGCTATTGCTGTGCCTGTACTGTCGTTCGTATTTCAATCTAGTCGCCGGCCAAGAAGCAATGATGGGTGTCTCTGTTATTTCTATCGCAGCGATCGCTGATTTCTTTTAGTTCTGAGACCAACCAACTCTGGGCTCGTTTCCTTGTCCAGCGGCAAGCGAAAATCAGAACTCCTATCTCTCAGGTGCTGGTGAATACTCAGCAGGAAAACACGACACGATGGCTTGAGAGCGAAGGAGAAACTTCTTGAAGTAAAACAAAATTTTAAGTCGCGATCTTGCACCAGCGCGCCCGAGTCAAAGTGATGCTGTGGCAGTTGGAAACACAAGTGCAGGTGACGCGACTTTTATTTGTCACCACTTGGCCTTGTCTGTCCCCGGGGCAAATCGCGGGAAAAAATCGCAAAAAAACGCGGGGGAAAATGCGGCATAATATGGCATAATTTGCGGTAAATATGCGGTGAACAATATTGATATGCGGCAATTTTCAGTGAGTATGTAGTGAAATCAATCAGTTACAAGTCTCTGGTGTAAGCACTCGTCATATTTGAGTAAAAAGCCGCCACGATGAGACGTTGCTGACCGAACAGTAGGGAGGTTTAGTTCCCACGTAACGGAAACGCGTACGTGGGTGATCCACGTAAAGTGGATGAAGGGCACCCACGTTGCAATGTTGTGTTTAGTCACACGGAACAAACAAAAGCATGAAGCGAAAGGCCAAAACCTGGTCAAAGACGAAGCTACCCCGGCCTAAGAAGCTCATCCAATATTTTGATTTCGTGCTTCGGAAACTTCTTCAGCTGAGCACCCTCACAGCTCGCACAATGCGCTCCATTCTGATTTTCACCCACGTTCTGGCGGAACGTGGGTGAGCCTCCATACACGGTATGTCGTGAATCAGAAAACGTCTGTACGTGGGTCACTGAGTATCACGTGGTACACCCACGTAAAGTACCCACGGATTACGTGGGACTAAACCTCCCTGTGTGTACGTGTAGTGCAACAAAAAAGTAAAAAAAACGCGGGAAAATCGCAAAAAACGCGGCCGTGGAATCGCGATTTTCCCCGGGGACAGAAGCCTTGTACATGTAACTACGTGTTGTTGGCCAGACAGCATGAAACAAGGTAGAGGACACCGTGTTCGGAAAGTAACAGTTTCAAACAGTGACCTTACTACAAGTACAACCATCCACGGTTGGTAGAGCCCTGGTCCGTTGGGACCATCTGAACCATAATTATGGGTGTTGAACCCGGTTCTGACCCTCAATATGCTATAATTATGCTTGGGGAGTTTTAGCCTTCTCCTAGCGTCAGTCGTGCATTCTTTGATCGCTGATAGTTATAATGCTGTCCCTCCGGGAATTTGCGGACAAAACTCTCGAAAACGTGCGCAAGAAATTGCGTCAGAAAGTAACAGAAAATGCGACGAAAAGTGCGGAATGATGCAGAACTTGCCAGGAATTCGGGGAATTATTTGCAGAAAATTGCGGATTTGGGCCAAATCACGAATTTTGTTGCATCGTATATCTGCTCGGGAGTCGTACTGTCCAAATAACCTACAGGATCATGGAAAGAACTGCGTGAAAAGTGCATAAAATGTGAGATACAGTGCAGAAAACAACAAAAAACGAGGGAAATCGCGGATTTTGCTGAAAATCGCGGGTTTGGGCCAAAATCGCGAAATTTGTTGCATCCGTGGAATCGCGATTTCCTGGAGGGACAGATAATGACTCATAAATAAAAGTAGTACATGGTTAGAGTTGTGCTGGGACACGATTATTTGGACGGTGAAAACAGCAACGTGAAGAATCTGAGGCTGCGTTTACATGACAACGATTGAAAACGACTTGTGTTTACACGACAACGAAATACGACCTAAACGGAACGAAATCGTTGCGTTACTACTATCGTTTACACGACAACGCCCGAAAACGATACCTACATGTAAACGGAACGAAATGGAAACGCACTTCAAAGTGTTTTGAAACGTTCTCAAAACGTTTTCGTTCTCGTGTAAACGGTGAAAACAGTGAAAACGATTGGAAACGGAGCGCGGTCATGGAAACCATTCCGCGCGGGAGTATATTTCGCGGGAAATACCCAACCCTTGCGACCACCAGCACGTACCAACTCCAACTAACGTGTTACTTCCCGCCCTTGCGCAAAGCCAGCACGTGCTAAATCTAGCCTGATCGCCCGTTTTCCGTTTTCGTGTGAACGGTTCAAAATGATTTGCCGTTCTCGTGTAAACGGTTTGAAAACGGTTCGAGGCCAGCCCGTTTTCGTTCTGTTTCGTTTCATTTCGTCTCCGTGTAAACGCAACCTTAATCACAACAATTTTTATATTAATAGGGCTTGAAAGTGCTACGTCACAGCATAGCAACAATTTCAAAAATTCAAAAACTGGATCCACTTGTATGGATCCAAGCACATTTCAAGCGGTCTTACCCACAGCATGGTGATGTAGCCAGTGAAACTGACTGATTTGGCTACTGGGGGCGGGGTTACAACTGGTCGCGAAATAAAAGTCACACCTGCATGCGACATGAGTGGGTTGCTATGCACCCACATACTTAGGCAATAGCAAAGTCACACCGTAGTGGATCCAAAAATAGAAATCTGATGTCAACTTACTACTCCCTGGCCGTTTTGACGTCATCACTTTCAAGCCCTATAGAAAAGAAAAGGACCAAGAAAGGGCTCGCTCCCTACACTGGATGGAGCTTGCGCTATTCCGCCGACTTGACTTGACTGACTCACGACTGCCATCCAGAGAACACGAGAAGCCCATCGACCAAGGAACTACAAGTTACGCTATAGTGTCCGCTAACACCACCAGCAGCTAGTAAACAATCCGCTCAGCTCAGTGTTAGTGGACATTATAGCATAACGTGTACTTGAGTTCCTTGGTCCTTTTCTTTTCTATAAATTGAATTTATCCATGGCTCTCCATTCGAGTCCAATTATTGATATTAAATGTTTTTTTATTCCATGGCTCTCGAAAGGCAATTGATGCGCAACAGGACGCAGGTCAAAGGGGGAGTCCCCTAGTTAAACTGATAAGAATGAATCCAAGCTGGAGGCAATACGGTGGTATGTACCCACACATTATTATTATTACAGCACCTGGTACAACTGTGTATATGCAGCAAGGTAGGGGTTTGCACTCAATATTGCTAGATCAGAGAATAATCTTAAAAATAACCTGGATATTGCACTGGACTAGAAGTGATAGCACGGCAAACTGCCTCGGAATCGCACATAAGAGGGAATAACAGCTATTTCAACAGAAGCATGGAAGATCTTCAAAGATGGAAATGTTTTCTTTCATAATTGATCAAATTTCTGTGTTTTAGGTATGCCGTGAAGTCCCGTACGGCGGAGTAACTGATATTAGAATAAATTTGGATTTTTCAGCATGGAATTGTAAGATAACTACTCAGCAGCATTGGGATTTGCAAATGGTTGTCTCACGAGGTAAATGTCGTTGATCTGTGGAGCATGAGGAAGACAGGAAGCGCAAACACACACACACCCACACGTTATGGTTTTGATCGATTACACGATTACAGGCGGAGACGTGGTCGGGTACTACAGCTAAGTAACATAGTTCACCGTCATGGCTTACACACGTATATACACCATATGCATATAGTGAATTTCGTGATATAGCGAATCAGCGCCCATGGCCCTGTTTCAACCCATACAACAATTGACCCTTTGTTATATCAGTTTTCGTTTAAAACGAGCCGAATCTTGTAGGACCGCATGCAAGCCAAGTGCACTCATACGTCATGGGCCACTTCCCAGTCATAGCTGGCTGCTTGGATAGTGCGGGTGCATTTCTGTTAGAACGAACTTCGGCTACTGTAAAACCGGAAAGTTTAACGACCAAAAAGTTTAATATTTTTGTAATTTTGGCGTGATAACGTGCAGAAAGTTTAACAATGGCTGCCTGGCCACCCATCTGTATGCGCATCTTTACACAGACAACTCGCAATAACGTTTCTTCAAATAACGAAAAAAATTGGTTAAAAGTTATAACGTTAGACTTTGTGATTCGTTAGACTTTCCGGTTTTACAGTATAAAGAACTAATTCTCCTGCACAATAGTGTTCGTTATATCAGGAGTCGACTGTAGTCAGTAGCAAAGCACATACACACCGAGCAGGCTACTGTAGTCCGGAGATAAGCCCACTGCGCGTAGGGAGATATGAAAGGCATGAGTAATGTATGTGAGTATGCCGGGATCAGCAATTCACTATTTAAAAAAAAACACCCAGACAAGCGTACCCGTGTGGCCGTGCGGGGTGTTCAATGTGCATTTCGGGAACACGTTGAACCCGAATGACTTGATTTATTTTACTTCTTTATTTCACTCAACTCGTGGTCCATGACCAATTGGCACGCAAAGTGCGAGAGAGGGGTGATAGCCAACCACGGCAAGAAACGAAAAAAGACAAAGGAAAAGAGAAGAAAGAAGGATAGACAAGCAGACTTACTCAATGACTTTCTCCACGTGCTGAGCCGTATGGTAGGCCACGTCCTTGATCATGGTCAGAAAGAGATTGCAGGTCGGTGAGACCGGCTGATCTACAAAGTAGGCCATCAGTCCCGGTAGGTTGGTAATCTCCGGGCGGCCATGGTAGTGCTCGCGCATCCACTCCACCACGATCGAACGGTAGTTGTTCAAATAGCCGCCCTTCTGCTTCACCATCAGCTTGGCAAGTTGCTCTGCACAAAGCACACACCGTATGCAGATACTGTAAAAACTGGAATTTTCGCTGGTGTAATATTTTTGGTATTTCCCCAAAATCAACGGTACGGAAACGCGAAAATTTCGGTAAACCAGTTTTCCAGATCCAAAAACGCATTTTGCAGACTATGTGCCCTGGTATGGTTGAACTTTAGGTCGCGTTTTATTTCAGGTGACATTACCTGCACCGGCGAAGTTACCGAAATTTCCCGGTTTTACAGCACACAGATAACAGGATATGTTACTCGGGCGTCTGATAAATCTAACTTCAAACGGGGCATATACACATACCGTATTTCTATTTCCCCGATTGTAAGTCGCACTCCATTATAAGTCGCATCCCCATTTTCAGGTTTGAGCAATATTGATTTGATATACAAACTTCAGTAGTAAGTCGCGCTCGATTGTAAATCGCACCCCCTTTTTACCCTTGAATTTTAGTGTAGAAAGGTGCGACTTATATTCGGGGAAATAGGGTACGCCTGATCAGAAGTCCTATGCATTCCGCTTTGAAAGGAAATGCATGGGATTGATGCTGACAAATCGATGGTTAGCAATCGCCACTTGAGGTTCGGTGTACAGTGAACTGGTCCGTTCGGTGTACAGCGCACCGATCACCATCCAGTGCTCGTAAGTAGGCTGCACTGGCCAGCGCATAGTACACAAATTCCGGGTCTACAGTGCACACCGCCTGCCCGTGTGACAATGCGAAAAGACGTAGTTTGCCGGGCGTACATATTTGGATTGTTTGAATGTTCACATACGTACATGCGTTTCTAATTGTTTCCATGACAATTTGGGGTTAGAATTCAGAGTATCCCACCCATTATCGATACTATGAAAGGTAGACCAATTGTAGTAGTGAGGTAATAGCTATCAAAGCAGCAGCTGCATTAACCCTTTATGGACGGATTACTAGCACAGTATGCACCAGAATTACAAAATGTCAGTACAATTTTCAACTTTTCCATGTCATAACTTTGGTGTCCTTCACTTGATTTTCACAATCAAGGGCTCATTGGAAAGCTCTTGGCGAGAGCAACGCCAAGGTACCAATCTCCATTATCCAGCCGCCACAAATCAGGCGCGGTAACACAGCAAAGTCGTCTCCAAGCCTGATATGCAAGCAAATTCGTCCCATCAACGCCATTCCACTCTCCTTCATCGCAGAACGCTCAAATCTGTTTGAGACGATTCAAACTTCAGCCGGCTACGTCATTATCATGTGCTCAGTCGCTCAAAGAGCACACGAAAAGAGATTTTCCCCAAAATGGCGAAATGATCGATCAAAAATTTGAATTTGCCATGGTAAGAATACGGCGTGCGATATCTCTGGCGTCCGACATCGTAACTCTTCGGCGATTGTTGCATTGGACAGCTTGGAGTTTCCGCTACCACGTAGACCCTTCGATTGTGGAATTTGCTCAAGAAACGTGGAGTTACAAAGATTTTACCGCCTGCAGACTTTCGATCTTATTAGATCGAAACTCGTACAGTCCGTCCACAAAGGGTTAATAGCAGTGCTACAATGAGTTGCAGAGTAGCAGCAATGCTGGCTATACTCTGCAACAGAAACACTGTCCAAAAGCAAGAGCAGCCGCAGCAAAGACGACGGCAGTGCTGCTGATGCTTGTGGAAGCAATGACAGAAGCTCCACAACCAGCATACACAGCATAGACAGTGTTCACAGCATTTACGGCGTTCACACCATTCACAGTAGCAGCGCCACCACCAAGCGCCAACATCAGCATCAGCACGAGCAGCAGCAGCAGCAGCAACACCACCAGCACCAATTCATACATGAGTTTCTTTGATGATACGTACAATATCACTTTGCCCGTACAAGAGGCGCTATTATCATCACGAGCAGCGGCAGCAGCATCAGCAGCAGCATCAGCAGCACCACAATCGTAATCATCACAACCACCACGTTCTTTTTCTTCTTTGCGCTGCAATCACCTCTCTTGAATTCTTATCTATTTGTGTTCTTGTTACTTCTTGAGTTACTTCATTCTCTGCTCCATGTATCACAATTTGATCCATTCTTTGCCCATAAAATTGGCTTTATGATCACAACCAGCACCAGCACCTTGTTTTAAACAGCCGCTATGTCTTTCATCACCGATAAACAAGTCAACTGAACTTCTTACCACACTGATAATCGCCGAGGTACATGCGCACTTGCTTGGCAAAGTCATCCAGGTCAACAATTTCAATCAGCGCACGAGATCTATGCAAGCAAACGTGCGCGCACACACACACACACACACACCACAGACAAACAGACAGATAAGAAAAACGACTGGACCATTGCACAGAAGGGCAGACCTAATCACGATTGAGTTGACGATTTGACGAAATGACAGAATCTATAGCTGAGTAGTGAGTGGTGGTAGAGACCTCTAGGTAAATAGAGAAAAAAAAAACAGTCAAAACACATCTGCTACTGGGATGACAAATACATCACAGATTAGTGGTAGAGTATCAGTGGGCGAGAAGCACGGATCCCTGATTCGAGTCCTGGTGCTGACAGCCAATTTTCTCGTTTTCACACCCCTCCAACTTCTCAAGCTATAAAGCGGGAATAGATGTGTCCATTAGTCACTTTGGAGAGAGGCCGGAATGACTTAATGACTATCACCACAGTGCGGGATCTCGACCTGGCGACTGAGCGGGCAAGGGACAAACCGGCATGGAGAGCGATGGTCTACAACTAATGATACTGAACTAGAACAACGGAAAGACTCATCAAGAGACAGCAGCGGACCGAACATTAGTGTTGCACACTATTAATGTTCCATTACGCGCAACTATGTTATTATAATTATTACTATCACTAGTCACTTACATTTTAGGGATGGGACGCGGTGTAGGGGTCAGTTTGCCAGACTCTTCCACACCTTGGAAACAGAAATATACATACACAATGTTTCAGCTCCTTTCGGGGAGAACACTCAACTGAAATGATCGAGTAACATTTCCTACAAAGATGAGAAGATATTTTTCAAAAAGCCTTGTAAGAAAGGTTATGTTTCATGCAAAAAGGGAGTGTGTGTGTGTGTATGTGTGTGTGTGTGTGCACGTGAGCATGGGCGTACGTATGTGCACGACCGTGCTTGTACGCGTGCGGGTGTGCATGTGGGTGGGTGTTCGTATGTGCATGAGCGTCTGTGCTCGTGGTACACAAGTCTCTGGACACGTATTGCCAAACGGGAGGTGCATGGAATTCAAGGGTGTCACACACCAGCGGGCAGCACTACGACCGGGGCTGTCCCCACGGGGGAAAAAAAGACTTCTCGGCCAATAGAGCACTTTCGATGCTCTTTTTTTATGAATTGGGCGGCCCATCCTGAGCGAAAAGTGGTACGACCTATCTCGATTGCATAACACTATTTTCAGGCAGGCCGGGTCCTGATTTTATGTGCAAATCCAGTGGGGCCTAGCTGAAGGGCAGGCTCCACATAAGGTACTAGTCACTGCAGCCCGGGCTTCTCAATGACCTTGCTGACAATCATGCAAAGATATCTGTGGCATGTGGGCTGGCAGCAGGTATCTGGGATCTTCAGCGAGCACTCAAACAAAGGAAAACATTCCGTATGTGTTTTGTCATGGCCAGGCTGGATCTCAGGTTTCAAGACCAGGGACCCGAGACCCTAGTCCCGGCTAGTAGAGCCAGCCGCTGTTTGACACACGAGTCTTCAGTTTGTTTGTATCCATGACTGAGATACTGGATGCAGTTAGGCTAGCCTGTCTCTCCTCAACGGCGGTATGGAGTTGCAAATACAAACACCCCTTAGTTCGTCTCATTGCATCCGCATTAGCGCTCCATGCAGCCACATTAGTACTCCATGCAGCCACAATAGTACTCCATGCAGCCACATTAGTACTCCATGCAGCCACATTAGTACTCCATGCAGCCACATTAGTACTTCATGCAGCCACATTAGTACATGGCTATTGCTGGCAAGAAATTCACATAGAGTCAATTACCAAGAGTACATGAAACCCAGAGTGTGCATCTGGAGGCTTTTTCTACTGATGTAAGTCGACAAATTTTCGGGCCATTCAAATTTCGGCCTCTCAGGGCTAAAACCCATTTCGTCTGCATCAAATTTTCGGCCTGTGCTGCTGCCGCATGTGTACACTGTCACACTGAACCTTGCAAAACAAAAATTTCAGCCAAACATGAAAAAAGCCGAAAATAAATATGCGCCGGTTATGTGTTGACTTGCAGTATGGGTGTTTGTCACGGGGGAATTCCCTGATTACATCATATTTGGCGCGAGATCTGAGGCGGGAAATGGCTTGGTGCGCACAACTGAGCTGCAGTTGTGTAGAAAGTGGGGCTGAAACGATTATATCGGTTATCCGTCTAATCGATCATTACAACGAAGCGATTTCGATTATGCTCTCTGTTTCGATTACGCGATTCAAAAAATAAATAAAAAATGTAAAAAAGAGAAGAAACACATGAGAACGAGTTATGCAGCAACTATCCACGACTGTAACAAGACGATAAACGGTCAGAAAATGCGATAATAGGGCACAAAACTGACAGGCTACTGAGACATTCAGCGACCCGAGACCTAGCTCTAACACATCTCCAGTGCGCAAACTCCAACCTTCCAAGTTTCCGCACTGGAGATGTGTTAGAGCTAGGTCTCGGGTCGCTGAATGTCTCAGTAGCCTGTCGGTTTTGTGCCCTATTATCGCACTTTCTGACCGTTTATCATCTTGTTACAGTCGAGGATAGTTGCTGCATAACTCGTTCTCATGTGTTTCTTCTCTTCTTTTTTTTACATTTTATTACTGGCTCAGTATCCGAGTTTAAAGGGGAACTGTCACCAAAAAAATTCTTTGTCGTATCTTGTAGTTCTTTGGCTCCTGATCACGATGGTGTTATTCGTTTTTCTCTGCGATGACTGGAAGTGGGTGAAAACTTGAAAAGAAGTTCCCCAAAATTGTCCCGAAGTACCGAGTGACGTCACGCCGGACTTGACCTCCACGCGTACATTCATCGTCAAAAACGAAGTCCAGCCCGTGTACTGGTTGATCGAACTGTTCGATGTACGGTGCACGCTTGCCTTCTGAACTCGGACACTGATGTGTACGTTGTACACAATGAGAACGCCAAAAAGTGACAAAACAAACAAAAGTCGACAGCAGTTTGTCGCACTGGTACTTAGGCGGTGTTGCCCACCCGGCTCTGAAATGAAAAAAAAACGTCGGAGTTTGTCATCTGCATCTTCAGCAACATCGCCAGATGAATCACCTTCATGCAGCTACATTGCGTTCCTTTGGGGCTCGGGTTGGTGGTGTTATCGCCGGCCGGAGGAGTACTGTTTTCTGCATACGTACTCATCATCGTGTTGTTCGTCACACGAAAAGTTCAAAACAACGACGTACTTCCATGCTCACAAAATAAAACTTAGATCCTCGCGGAAGAAGTCAAAAAGGTGAAAGCTCAGCTGCTTCTTATTTCGATTTGGCTGTGTAGCTGCACGTGGGTCTCTGCCTCTTTGGCATTCTTCTTTGGTACGACGTACCCATCTGTGTTAGAGTTCAAAAGGCACACGTGCACCGTACATTGGAACAGCTAGCTCGATCGACCAGCACACGGGCTGGACTTCGTTTTTGACGACGAATGTACGCGTGGAGGTCAAGTCCGGCGTGACGTCACCCGGTACTTCGGGACAATTCTGGGCACCTTCTTTTCAAGTGTTCACCCACTTCTAGCCATCGCAGAGAAAAACGGATGACACCATCGTGATCAGGAGCCAAGGAACTACAAGATAAGACAAAGAAATTTTTTGGTAACAGTTCCTCTTAAAAAAAATATATACTTATAAAAAAAAACATGCACAAGAATCAATAGATGCCATGTACATGACTGTACCACAGTTGTAGTCACACCGTATAGCCTCTTGTACGGGCAAGAACAAAGTAATACAGCTAGCGTGCGTCGAAGAAGAAAATAAGCAGAAACTACGCGGAAACGTACTATGCTGTGAAACACGCACGAGGCGTAGTAGTAGGATCCGATAATGTTTACGTACATTTGTAATTGTAGATCGAAAGTGCATGTACACATGCGCACCACTGTACTTTGTCTTTTCCTGGTTTCTTTTTGTTATCCACATGTTTTCCAGTATATAATTATAGTAGAGCTGTGTTAAGCTTTGTGCTGGTCTGGTGCGGCAATTTCTAGGACACAGTAATCGATATCATAATCGATAATCGAATCGATACAAGGGTAGGTTAACCGATAGTTGAAAAGTGTAATCGTTTCACCCCTAGTAGAAAGAGACCTGCTTGAATCCTGCTTGTACGCACTACATCCCTAAAATGCTGTAATCACGGAATTCCGCCGTGACAGCAACCCAGCCAAGCTGCACACTATGGCTTTCATGTACTCTTGCTATTACCCATAACACTTACATCTTGTCGTTGCCCCTGGTGGCATCAGCAGCTGGTCCATCTCGGCGCGCACATGGTGGAAACCGAGCGCCGTGACCACCTCCAGGAATCGCATGTAGCTGTCGCGCCCACCGGGTCGTATGTAGCTGAGCAAATGGCTGTTGTGTTCGTCGGGCCCGCCGCGGTTCTGCATGGCCTGTAGGGTGGGAATGATGGACATGTTGTCGAGGAGGCCCTGATTGATGCACTCCGAACGCAGCCTGAGCGGATCCAGCGTCATGATCCACAGGTAGTGCTTGCTGATGAACTCCGGAGCGTCCCACGGGTCTAGCGCACAGACAGCATCAATAGGGCAAAAAGTGTGGAGAAAGAGAAAGACAAACGTGCATACATGTGGACAAGTACATACAAACACGCAGACGAGTGCATGCATACACGCATGCATACTTTGGTGTTAAGCCGCGTACCCTAGAGTCCATCGACATCTATTTTGGGCACCTTTCATATAAGTCTACAAGGCTCCGGCTGTAGCTTGGCAATGTAAACAGCCTCTAGCACATCTAGGTGGCATTTGCTGCGCGCCTACTCGTGAGTCTTGAAGCGCTCTGGAATATTCTCTACCTAGATGTGCTAGAGGCTGTTTAGGGTGCGTTCTTATATTCTCTAGCTTCTCGGAGAAGAAGAAAAGAGAAGTCAAAGAAACTGGTATAATTCAAGAACGGGTCTCCAAGAATTCGGAGATATTTTTCACATGTGAAGAAATATGAAGCGCCAAAGGGTCTGTGCTCTTGAGTGCCACACATGTAGTACGCATTTTGCATATGCAAAAATGGAAATACGTACACTCATGATCAACACATGGCTTTTCGCTGTAGTTCGCATGCACTGATTCCAAACCGCGGGAATCTCTAAGTTTCAAACACGTCTGAAGCCCGTAGAGCTTGGAGAGCTTTGGAGAGTCTCCTAAAATTCGGAGAGGATATAAGAACAGCTCTCGAACTTTTCAGAGAGTCTCCAATTTTTCCGAGAGGATATAAGAACGCACCCTTACATTGCCAAACTACAGCCTGAGCTTTTTAGACAGGAGTTTGTTGGGAAGCTAGCGCTAAATAATTGATTATTATTATCTGTGCCCCGCACGGCACATAGGCACAGCACAGTGGTTGTGTGATGCCATCATCAGTTGAGATACTTCGGCAAAGTCACCGCAGAGAGCTGCGTTTGCACTAGTGACTCACGCTGCATGCATTCATACTCGTACATAGCGCCCATTAGCACATCCGCACACTCACGCTGTATACTAAAGCAACCATCAGCGACTACGATGATTCACCCCATGGAATCATTCGCATAATCCCTATACAATTCAGTCCCGTCACACACATGCTAGCAGTTTTCTTCGGCGATTTTGCTAGTTCGTTGCCTGAAAAGTGCAGGACGCGGCCCAACAGCCGATGACTAGAACATTTCAGGCCCTGCCGGAACCGGTCTCGTAGGTCAGGTGATCACCGGACTAACTTTATGGCCACCATCATCGCTCCCGGTTTGGTCTCTATCGCATTTTGAATTGGAGCCCTTCGTATGTTTACTGCTGAGAAGGTCGTGTTCCCCTGCCACACCATACACAAAGTATGAAAGGGCTACGGTGAGGCTGGACCAATTGAAAACTGCTAGCGGCGGTCCTGCATTTGCTCAAGCTGGGCTATTCCATAATGCTGGCTGCAGATCCAAAGCTGCTAGTCAGTTGATCAGACAACCCAGCAGACAACCCAGCAGACAACCCAGCAGACAACCCAGCAGACAACCCAGCAGACAACCCAGCAGACAACCCAGCAGGGTCCAGCTAGGAGATGCTGCTGCTGCTTGTGACAATAGAAAGGTTTTGCAGAGCGAAGAGCGTTCACGCGAATTTGTGTTTGATGCCACGAGAAGCGAAACTTTTCACGAACGTTCGCAGTTTTGGACGCGAAAATTGCAGGAAACGCGAAACAAACTTTTGCAGTAATTTCGCTCATCGCGGACCGGTGATGCACGGTGAGCCACCCTCAATCCTCATCTTTGTGCTTGATCTCTGCTCTTGGCTTGGTTTGCGAGTTCTAGCTTTCCCATAGATGTGGCAGCCCGTTGCTTCATCTACGGAACCATCTCTGACCTCCTGCCTGCTCGTCTTCTCACTGCTCAGAGTCGGTTACATCAATCATATCTTTTTTTCGAATTTCAGGTGTTGATGCGCCAGATTACCGCATAAACCAACCCGTTTGTCTGTGGGTCTCCGACAATGGACAATGTGGTCAAAGAGCTCTCGTCTCAGGCAGTGACTCAGGCAGCCGCCACTCGCAACAAACAAATAATCGGATGAAGACCACTTCTCAAACAAGCGCGAGTGCATGCACGTGTACTTTCTTGGAGCGAAAATCATGCAAAAGCAGCAAAACACAAATTTCGCGAGAACGTTCGCAATAGTTTTCGCAAGCCGGAATTGAAAATCATTGCGAACTGTCGCTCTGCAAAATCTCTCTATTGCAGCGCACACAGACCAATCAAAAAATATCAGGTCGCTGAATGTCTCAATAGCCTGTCAGTTTGGTGCCCTAGTATCGCACTTTCTGACTGTTTCTCATCTTGATACAGTCGTGGATAGTTGCAGCTTGACTCGTTCTCATGTGTTTTCTTCCCTTTTTTTACAAAAAAATATTCTTATATTTTTCTTGTCAAAGTGATGAATCGCACTTCGTTCCATCCAATACTAGAACACACTACCAAACCCTGGCATGCTACATGACTGTAGGCTGGAATACAACAAATAAAATAAATACATCAACCTATATACACACAATGCACGCACAAATACGCTGGGCCTATACCCTAGCTAGCTAGCTAGGCAGGTCGAGTGCATGAGCCTACATTATTATTACTCACCGTGCTGTCTGTTCATCTTCAGTAGAAACACCACGGAGTCGGCGAGCAAGCAGTAGAACGGACGCGCTCAGTGTCAACAGCACCGACAATTCAGGTTGAGTACCCGACGAAGGGCTTTCTCCGGCTACTAATGTACCAGCTGAACTCCAGCTTCTACTAGTACTTCGCTAAGGCCAGTAATAATATGCGTCTCACCACGCATCTGTTGATGCTAGCCGTGTTCCGCCACAAGTCGCTACACAACTAAAAAAAGCATTCTTCAGTCAAGGCGCAAGCCCAAACAGTTCCATTCCGCTAAAGTAGCCGGCGACCTCGACGGTATCGAGCTTGCACCAATCCGCCCGAGTGTTCATTGATTCGAGTAATTCTAAGCTGAAACAACGACGTGGCCCACGGCTCATCTTAATCTCGATAGCGCGCTGGGCCGGCGTGTGGATTTATACTCGTAGATTCACGCTGCGATGTGTAACAATTTTGGTTTTGTTCTCTCCCAAGAAACACTCGCACATCGCCACTTCGCTGCATGCTTGACCTGGCCTACTAAAGTACTATACCATATACTGTGTGATGATGTGCTCACGTGCTCCCACGCAATTCTCGCACCGTCTTTTTTGTAGTACTACGAGTTACCCAGCCTCACTCTGGCCGTCTGGGCCGACATCAGCTAGCTGACACCATGGACACTTGACAGAGAAAAACGGTGCTGACATGACAGTAGATCTACTGGTGACGCTGTTCTGCGCAATCTGAGAATTTGCGCAATCACACCAACCAGTGACCAAGGATATACACAATGATACACAGTTGCGAGGGCAAGACACGTAGATCCCATCGATCTACGTAGCTAGCTACGTGAAGCTGCGAGAAAAATCCGAGGACAAGAGTGATGACAGTAATCTAAAGTCGGTAAAGAGTAGTGAAGTCACCGTGTTTTTGATCAGCACTACTCGTACAGTGTCCACTGTAATCTGGTAATGCAGATCAAAAACACGGTGACTTTATCCCTGGATTTGTCTCGCAGCTTCGCGTAGAATAGACCGATCCCCTTATTATACTGGGTTCGAGCACGGGGGCAACCTCACTCGCGATCGAGCTAGTTTTTGAACGTGACAGCATCTTTGACAGTGTGTTTCAGGTTTGTTTTGGAATGTCTTCTGCTGAATAGTTCAAGTAGTTTGCGATGGCTTCGAGCGGTGCTAAACTTCCTGCTGGTAGGAGCAGAGTCTCCGAGAGAGACATGGACTGTGATGCCGCTGCAGGATTTTTTCAAGGCGCGGGAGGGAACGATCTCGGGCCACAAACAGGAGTTACTCCAGAGGTGAGTTTTTTTGTTGTTGAAATATTCGAATCGCGAATCGTGTTGTGAGATTTATTTTGTGCCTAGGCTACAGCAGACCATATTTATTTCTCCTTGCGATCGGTGCTGAAGATAATAGTAACCTTTTTCTGGTCTGTCTTTTCCTCTCCAGAGCCATCTTCTATGAAGGTAACCGTGGTGCTGCCAAGTCACCAAGTCGCGATCAGCAGCCCTGAAGTGGAAAAATCGATTTTCCAACGATCTGGTTGGACATCAGCCACTAAAGTACTTCTGATTTGCTTGTAGTGACAACAGCAGCCATCCTTGGACACCTTGCAAAGACAGGAAAAGCCACTGGTGGAAGTGACTGCTATGAGGTGACGATAGCAGTGCAGTGGTGATCGCTGTTTTGTCAAGTCGAAGGGCTAGCCAACCCAGAGGAAGCATAAAAAAACGATGAGCAGTGCGTGGTATTTGTTGAGCGTGAAGAGCTAGATGAGGACAGTGCAAACACATGGACGGAGTGGATGGTGTTTGAAGAACAGTGTGCTGTGTGCCGGCTGGTGGTGATGGTGGTCTTTGTCAGCATGTATTCGTGCTGCTTCTTGTGCTGGAACACTTCTCGCCCAGGAAGGCAGATTGCGTGCTCCCTGGCCCTCAGTTGGCTATGGGGCATTTGTTCCAGGAACATTACCCCAGAGCCAATGATGAGTCGAAGCTTGCTGTTAATCGCAAGCGTAGCGCAGTGGATTGCTCCCTCTTCGAAGCACGAGGGCCAAAGCTTGCCGCTGTCTGCAGCAAAGTGTGTGTGCGGTTCTTTCAAACCTATGAATATACCCCCCTGCATGTTCAGAGTGAACTATTTTCTAGTATATTTAACATCCTCAACCCGCCACCACCATGCGCTCTTGGCCGAACTAATGCACGAAGCATAAACACACCAGCACAGCAAGGACACTTCCGTTGACAGATATTGTTTACGCCTCTAGACCGCTGTTTCTTTCTTCGAGCTCATCGTTAGAGGAGGATAGTAGCAGGATACTAATGATGATATAATAGAAGATAATAGACGGTTTATGGTCCGATATTGATGATTGAAGATCTAAGAAAGCAATGACAGAGATTGCGAAATGGATAATATTATCATGATTATATGCCAGTCTGGTAATGCGTTGTACTAGTGGACAGTATTGAAATCATCACTGCATTCAATGCAAATATTGGTATACCAAAGGTTTCAGTATTGGAAAAAAGAGTAAGAGAACCTGGTTGATTTGGTTGCATCTGCGACTGGCTACCGGGTGTTGTGATCAGCAATGTTACCATGGGAGAAAATAAGAGCGCAAGGATCTGTTGGGTCTTGTTGTGCCGGTGCGAGAACCCTAAGTGCATGGCAAAATAGAACTGTTTCATCCACAATGCAGAATGTCTTGTGGTACATGGCATTAATGACTGAACATCTCGCCAGCTCGCCCAAATGGGGATCATGCCCAAACGGAGGAACAAGACATCTTTCCAGCTCAGCTAGCTATATAGTATATTCCGTGAAACGGATGATTAACTTGTGCCACGCATGGCAGCTTCTGTTCCATTCGGCCCAGGCTTAGACACATCAATGCCAATAGCAGCTGATCCTCCATTACATGCTCATTGGCGATTTACGGCCACCTCCAACTGTATCCGCCGTCCCTCAGCTTCCGTCTTCGCAGATCTGGCTCGGCGCAGTACATTTTCTCGGCTAGGCTCAAAGAAGTCCCACAGAGCGGTCCAAACACCTGAAGGCAAACCAGTCAGAAACTGGGGCGGCTCAGAGTCTTTCTTTATGTTATTGTACGTAAGCTGTTTTTCGGCTTTCTTCACCCCATCGTCCAACTGCTCCGCGAGACTCTGTACACGAGCTCTACTTGCTGCCAACTCCTGATGCAGATGCTGCACTTCCATTACAGGACCAAACTGCACTAAGCCAGGTTCTTTTCCAACTCAAAATGCCGTTGCCTCTCAGCAAAATACTGGTTTGCGAGCATGGGGAGCTCGTGATGCAGACGCTGCACTTCCATGACCGAACTGCACTAGGCTCAGCAAATACTGTTTTGCGAGCATCGGGAGCAGAGCGTCCAGACTCCACTCTCTTGCGAAAAGCAAACCTGGTACCGTAGGACAGCTGTTTGGTTTCCTGGACTCATCCTGCCCTTGTAGAGCTGGGCAAAACGATTTGGACTTCGGGATCGAAATGATCGCTGCAACTCAAATATTCAGAGTGACCCTAAAACTACGTCCTTCCTCACGGGGAATAGCCTGGATCCGCTTGCTCCAGGCCGCTGTGGCTCCACACGAGGAAAGGAGGGAAATGACTTGTTTGCTTCGTCCTCCTGTTCTGACAGTGAGGAACGCAGCAATGATCCTGAGAAGGCATCCTGAAGTCGTAAAAAGGAAGACGTCTAAACAAAAACAAAACAGCTCAAATCAAAAGTCCTTGTGGCATTTTTTGTAGACAGGCTTGCACTGCGTGTAGATTTCGCGTGCTCTGCACTTCGCATGCGAGAAGTCACGCAAAGCCGAGGTGAGGTTGGTCGCGTGTGTGCAGCAGGATCCCACGCGACTGCGGAGTTGCCCCCTTGCTCGAACCCAGACAATAATAAGGGGATCGGTCTATTAGAAGGGGTCTAGTAGTATCGTCGATCGCACACATGTTTCATCATGGCCCTGGGAGTATTATTATTGTAATGGCCATTGCATTGCCATGGACATGATGAAGTACATGTACATGTACGTGCAAGTTAGAATTTGCAGGCCATAAGTCTGTGCTATCCTGGGAGCAAAGCAGCAATAGTGGTACAAATGAATATGAAATTTTTTTTAAAAGATATTCAAGCACAGTATACTAGTACTAGTCGAATTAGTCCTCTACTTGTGCATGCCGGGCTCGATTCAGGATCGAGCTTCTATTCTTTGAGAATGGTTTTGCCTGATAATCGTGTACTAAAACGGGGAGCTGGGGTCGTCACGATTGATTACATGATTGTCATAAACTGCAAAGGAAGTGACCAGAGGACAGGGACGGACCGGAATAGATATGCAGAGAGAGAGTTATTGGGCGAACTACAGGGATGGCGAGATGGAGAGAGGGAAAGGGGGAGGGAGAGGGAGAGGGAGAGGGAGAAGGAGAGGAGAGGGAGAGGGAGAGGGAGAGGGAGAGGGAGAAGGAGA